TAAATAGTTTGACAAAGTGGTACACTTCTAGCCGATTTTAAACACACCCATTGCCTTTAAACGTTTCTGATTATATTTACTCAAGATCGCAAAAATCCGCAAATTGTCTTTTTACCATCATTTCCTACCACCCAGTCCCTGTGGAAGGCGTGTTGAGGTGGGGAGTGCCCTTCCTATCCATTGAAGAGAGATCGACCATAGAACTCTCGTTCAACATCTACTGGATATTTTTATCAGCACTTTTTCAAGCACTTCAGTATGCGAAACCGTGCAACCCAAAATTTTAGTAACAAAAGTTAGCGTTTTTAAATCCTGTTTTCATCTAACCCAAGCTCAAACTTGAATAAGCCAAAAGTTTCACACAGTTAAATAACTAGCCTTGTTCTATTTCTAGACGTGAATGCTGAATCATTTGTTAAGCAAGGTTAGTCCACAGCCTGTGCTTACACTCATTGTAGGTTTGTCAGCCTATTTCCTAACCACTATCGATTCAGTTAGGTTGTGCTCCTTATAATGAATTCCAAGGCCATTTTTCGTTCCATTCACTTCGTCCGATTTATGGTAATTTTTTTACATAAAATTAACCATCCGCAACCTGTCGACACTATAACTAACGTCGAAATGGTTAAAACTATGTCAAGGCGATGAAATTTCGAAAATAGTGCTAGCTTTTTCTTATTAATTCCAGCTCAAGCTGCACTTCCGTTGAAATGTCTTTTGATGCAATTTAAACCATTTTCTTTCGAAAATTCCTCAAAAAACATACAGTTTATTCCCGAAATATTTGTACATATTTTCATTAATGACTTTCGGTACTGGATAACAGAACTAGTCCCGTAAACTAATATAATATTGTTAAGTTCAATTCTATTTAATATCAATCGCTAAACTACAACAAAAAGAGAAATGCTACGAAAAGGAATTATTAAACTTATTACTCTTTAGCCGGTAATAAATCTGTTGGAAGAAGCATTAGTACAAATCGAGCACCTAGGGTTACAAATCAGATCAATAGAATTACGTGTAAACCACTCAACTTAGGAAAATGAACCTAATAGAAAATGCGAACTCATTCACGGTACGAATTTGACGAAAGTACTGTTCATTGGTTGCAAAAGCATTCAACTTGATTTCGAAATACTCTTTCAAACTAAAAAGCAAGCCACAAACCATTACTTTATCCCTATGTAGCCGAAACATCAATTTGGTTATGCCGATCATTATAAAATAAGATATGTGGTGGTTTGAAGTCACAGATTTTCTAAAACTGATGATAAACTGAAAATGGGGATGTCCTCTACATTAATTTGCTAGCGCAATGCTTATTTTGATGTTAAAATCCTGCCCCCATAAATGAGATCCATAGGCTTCAACAAGCCATGAAATTTCGCTTTAGTTTCACTGATTTGAAATCTCACCAAAAACATTGTAGCAGCAGCTTATTTAATGTGCATGTTTTAGTTATTAAACAAGGATGTGGAGAATCGGCATGGCTGCCAAACAAGTGTCAATTATAATCTTTGCTAAAAATTTACTGTTCCCACATCAGTTATCCTTTGATTCAGTCATCATTTCTTCGTTAATACAGGCGGCTATGTTATAGTAGTTTCTTCTCATTGTGACTGACTGGTCGACTACATAGCGAGGTGCTTTGGTTGCGCCGAAAGGGTTAATCTATATTATCGTATTCTTTGCCTTGATGAGTAGCCTTTTGCCTAAGGACAGAACCTCAAGCGTTTCGATCGAATCTTAACGTTTAGCGGACGATCTTATTGGCAACGCAGATTTAAAACTCAAGTTAAGAGTATGAGGCATCGTCGTCAGTTTACGTTTGAACCTTTCTAAAAAGCAGCTAAAATTTAAGATTGCCTTTGCTTAACCTATTCTTTATACTATAATTCTGGAAACGTTGGGGATTTTTCTTGAGCCTACACAAAGCACATCGTCCAGTTACGCTTTTGAGCCAAACACTGGCATGTGGTGTTCATTGTGGCTTGTTGTGTGGGTCCATCCTGCTCTAGGTGGGATTTAGAAGTGCAATATAGTGTAAATTTGAAACTACCACGACAGCTGGTGTTTCTCTGGTGTTGACTTTGGGATTGAAGAGATGTTTGGTAACCCAAGTACAATCTCAAGCCAGGTGAATTTGTATCCAATTCAAGGCATCCTTGCTATGAATAGCCGTTACTATCCATGTTTGAAAGAATCCAACTCTTCTGACCAGCAGATTTATCTCCCTTTATTGTATTTTTTCAGGACATGTTTTGGTTATTTGGTGTTTCTGGCTAAAAGTAAGTTGATTGTGTGCCCCAAAAGTTAATGTCCTATGTAAAATCGGGCAATAGGTTTGAAGTTCAGTTTTTAGCTTGTTCAGACATTTGTGAAGCAGTGTTTCCGTCGTTTTAATAGGCAAACGTTAAATTTGATTCATTTTTCAGGAACCCATTTATGACACAATGAAGTACATACTCACTGGATTTTTTAAAATGTATTCTAGCATGTATTTGTGTACAATCTGGTACTTGCTCTCATACTCACTTTAACGCATCAGGATTTAACTGATGGACCCAGTTATCTAATTTGTCATCCAATAGCAGAGCTCCGTGTGTGATCTACAAATGTCTGGAATTTCTCGAGTTAACCCACTCCTAAGACATGATTCTATCAGAGTGATGGTAATGCATGTCTCATGCTATCATAACTTTGCCATTTATTTTTATTATAGATAATCGCGACACTTGTGGAGGTAATTAAACATTCGAGGCATGCCGATTCACACCATCTGGACTTTTCTTTAGCCTTTTGGTCCTGCTGAACTTCGCTTTTGTGTTAATTATCTTCCTTTTTCACTGAAGAAAGTGTGGTATACCATAATGCGCCGTAAATAACGAGATTGATGTGCATGTACTGCAGGTTTTATGATACACAAAATGTTAAATGTCACAAATTTAAAAAAAATGGCGTGATTTCTTTAGTCCAGTCTTCTGGATGTAAATAAAGTTTGAACCAGTTTTGGTTGAGTTTAGTTAAGTTACTGGGCAGACAATGAATGCGGTTGAATAAACTGAATCTACATTATTCAAAATTGTGTAGCACTTCAAGATGCGGACATATTTGCAGCTGTGATTGACGCGGTCTGTGCAATTTCCAGCCATCCTGAGCCCGATTAAATGGCAACGTAGAATAATAAGGTAGAAATAACTTTAGCTTTTGCTGTAAAATGTCTTTTTAATGCTGCGTACTGCTGGACAAAGTGAGCACATTCAAGATGTATCATAATGCAATACAAACGGTTGAAACGCGAACCCTGATGCGCCTATTTCTGTGTTGTCAGTAGCCCGACGGTGAAATTCTGTCATAGGGTGCGTACCCTTACGATACGGAGAATTTAGGAAACACGCAAATTCGGGACCACCAAAACTAATTGTCTTTACTGATGTGCATGTATTTCAATTCTAAGTTCATTGTGCCTCAATTTAGTATGACGTCAGTGACAGCCAGTTCTCTTCCATAGGTAACTTGGCTCTTGACATCTCGTGTAAACTGCTCTTAGTAAACAAGCGAGTTATTGCTTGAGTTTATAAACGCATGAGTCATTCAAATTAATTTGATAACAGGTTATAAAAAAATTCAGCAACATGTTTTCAAAAATTTGCATAACCATTTCAGAAATACATAACTGACAAAATTGGTCACTCATACAAGGTCTGAAAGTTTCCTGAATATTTATCGTCGATGTTCTATTTAAACATTTATTTTGATTTCTTCCTAACAAAACTGCTGAGGTCTAGTGACTTACTACTATGAACCTATTTTTAACTCATGTAAAAGCAACAGTTTGTTCTACCGAGAAAATTGAGTTCTGTTGCAGGCAAAAATCTCAGCCACTACTTTGTCTAGATTTTTAGGAAGTGTTAGACTGAATGGGGTAACCAAAATTTTTCGGATTATTTTAAAATCCCAAGCCCTTGGTGCTTTTATTTTACAGTAACAAGTCTTGATTGGAATATTCGCTAAAATTAATCAAGTAACCGTAAGTAGATTTTGAAACGGAAGTGACTTGGTGACCGGCTTAATTTTAACCATCCTTACAGCCCGATAAATTCTTTTGATTAAATTCGTGGAACTGACACGAAAAGGATTCCCACTGATGTAACTGACGATGTTTGTTGATATTAAGGAGCACGTACAAAGGGTCTAACTTAAAACATTGATGAAATGCATAAAACCTCACCACGAGATGTGCTGCTAGAAAGTTTTTGGCTTAAATTGAAATGTCTCCAAAAAGTCCGTTTAACTATGGGGTTTCCCCTTAAACGCAAATGACAGAGAAGCATATTGACACTGCCGATGTGCCCCGGATTTCATTATAAGAAAGTGATTTCAATAGTTATGATGGTATGTAGTGTTGATAGGCATGAACGGGTAAATTGCTAAGGTAACGACGTAAAGGTTATTTGACAATCTATAGCAGTAATGACAAACCTATATTATTATAACAAAATTTGAACATGAAAAAAGCAAAGCAGAACATAAGAGAAGTGCGCACAATTCAGCCAAGTTGACGAGAAATACAAATACAGAAAGTTCTATCTGGCCGCCGACGGGTCGAAAATCGGTTGTAGCACGAATATTAACACGCGGCCCCCGTAAGAATGTTGTAAGTATTGCCACTTTGGCCTAAAAGTAAGGTGAAAGAGTGGAGAAGTGTGTGTGCCCAGTAAAAGCTGGCCGCCACTCTTTGGAAGCTGCTCAAGTGTGGTGTAAACGAATGTGACGGAATCCAAGCTTTCCAAATAAAAATGAATTTGTTATTCGTCGTGGTACCGTGTACATCTTGCTTCATTCTCTGCCTTTTCGAGTTTCAGGACAGTACAGTTGTTCCCTAAGGATTTTGAATGTCTTATTAGCTCGCTGTTGAGGGATATTGTACTAAACCAGCATCTATAGGGTGCTCAAGCTTATTTGGAGACGTTAGGTGTCTTGACACGTTCTTTAAGTTATAGACAACCAGAGAAGGGTACGAGGCGTGGGTTACAATAACTTGGTTGGATACCTCTAGGGGTAGGTGGAGCAGAACTTTTTCGTTCGCTTCGCATCTCTTGACAGATCTGGTAGGTGGAGCAGTTCTCGCCCGTCAAAACATTCCTTGTTGAATTCGCGGTGGAAGGTTGTCGGCGACGCTCTTCCACAGAGATTGAGTAGGTCGTTCCTCGCGAACCTGGTCCCGTGAGTGGTGAACTAATGTCTTTGAAATGGGAAAGCAGGAAGTTTTTGCTTATTTTGCAACCATCCTGTAAACTAGGCAAACTTTGAATTATACAAAAACTAAGTTTAATCATTTTTAATAACTGAGAGGTTTTTCAGGAAATGCAGAACTGCAGTTCGCCAAGTTCCAAGAATCTACCGTGTCACCACAGCACAACGTCAAAGGCATTAAGGGAAACCGATTCAATTGTCGGATTTAGTTACAAGCTTGACCTTTAATCAAGGCAATATTTACAAATTTGTAACTTAAAAGGCATTTAAATTCACCAAGTTTTTTAAAAGTGTAATGTAGCAATTACCACGCGACTTCACTGATTTCTCTTTTTCTCCAACTCGGTATTTGTAGTGCTGTGTGTTTTCGCCAAGGAGGGGATTTGAGGGCGCTGGAAAATTAAGAGGCAATGACAGCATGGATGCAGGCTATTCAAGTCTATTTACACTGGCAAAATCTGTAAGAATATTTTTGCACAGTGCTATCAAGTTTAGTCAAAACTGTTTCCCCTGATATAAGCTAATAAGTATGTGCAATGTCATTATTAGGATAAATTTACCACTTATTTTACCTACTGCGCTCAATTGTCTGTATAACAAAAAACCGCACCTTAACATTTCCACTTAAATCTAATTGTTGAAAATAGCATAAAGGGTTTTAGAGCTTTAGCTTGCATTAGTATAAATCACCAACCTTTTTCCAAGCTAACGAACCCGAACTAAATTTTGTTACATTTCACCGATTCAGTAATTTTTAACTCTCCATGCTGGTAAATCAGAGTCTGCTTGCAAATGCATCTTTCCGATGTTTATGTGCTTAATGTTACGAGTAAAATAAACATATTCCTTAAAATGCCATGCAAAATTACCTACCGGTGTTTGGACGCGCGGTGACGTTGCGCTCGATGGGAGTTATTTTGTAGCTCTGGCAGTTCTCGCCCGTCACCGCGTTGGTGTAAACTGTTGAAAAACATAACATGCGGAAAACTATGTCAACAAAGTATTTGTTTGCTTTCTTTAAGTATTCTCCAACAAAAACCCGTGAGTCACGTCTAATCAGGCTCTGTGAAGGTTTTAGTGCAAAGCGTCAGGGGTCGTAGTCCATGGTCCCAGTTTGGTGTGCACTTGACAAGGCAGTCATGCAATTAGATATGTGTATGCGTATTAAAATACTCCGTTCTATTTAACTAACCAAGATTTCATAAAAATCCAACTGTGTAGGTCGAACTGCTTCATATTATGTTTCAATTGCACTAGTAACGGAAGAAAAATCTGACTTCTATTATCTGGAACTGCCAGTTTCATTGTGGTTAAGCGATTATACATCAGGTTCCATGAACAGTGCTTTTTGACGTGATTGCTGAGCCTAACCAAGCATAATTTAAGAGTCTGTCTAGACAGAAAATCACTTACCATAAGGCTTCGTCGGTCTTTTTTTCTCCTCCTTAGAAATGGTAAAAGCGCTCACATTTTCACCACTCAGTGGATTGATCCTTTTGCTCTCGGACCGAGCTCGAACACGGGCTCTACCGGTCTTGGCGTTTTCTACATTCACATCGTAAGTACTGCAGTTCTCCCCAGTGATCGTGTTTTTTCCAGCATCTAGGCATATGGAAACCCTCGAAATACAATATTCGGTCATAGCAGTAAGATCTCACTTTTGAACATGCAAATCATTGTCCTTTTCTACTTTGATTTAGAAACACGTTACGGCGCTCACGAAGTTAACTTTAATCAGGCGAATTTGCTTACCACTTTCATTAAACGTTGTAGTTAGTGCAGCTGTAAACAAACCTGTTCTTTGACCGTAATTCTGCAAATGGCTTTCTCCGCCATAACAAGAAATGGGTAATGGGGTATATATCCAAATACACACTCACCTGATCGTCGACGAGGGCCAACTGGTTTCATTTCTTCAGAAATGTCAAAGTCTGTGCAGCTTTCTCCGGTTATAATGTTGCGGTCATTAAAAGAAACCAAAAACACACTTTTATAAAACAATAAAACGGCTTAGGAATTGTCTAAATGCTTGGCCTAGGGAATACATAGTGCTGAACATCAATCTGCACTCACGACATTAAGGAGAAAATATAAAAATAAGTGACAGTGACTGTTTAAAAAGACTGCTAATTTGCACTTTAATTAAAATTAATTCAAAATAAATTCACCTTTGGCTAATCCACGAAAATATTTCTAGATTACTGGTGTACACTGTGAATACCAGAAATGGTATTTAGCTTACTAGATCTTGGTGCCTTTGGAGTCAAGCATCTGTATTTTTTTTCCTCCGTGGTGATATCAAATGTCTTGGCGTTTTCTCCTGTCAGCGGATTGCACCTGTCACCTATCCTCCCAAAAACACATAAATTAGATATTTTTACAAAAAACAAACTATTTTGATGAAAGACTGAATCTTCCTGCCATTGGTCAACTGCGTACTGCTTTACAACATATTATTAACACTGAAAGCTCCCAAATGTTGTGCTTAAGAATCGCGACACTGATGGCCTTCAAAAAGACTGAACACAGCCTTTTCTTACAAGTAAATTGGTTAATGGCAATTACTTAACATTATTAACAGAATTTGGACCTCGACGATGTTATATTAACCACATAGGTTTGTCTTTCACAAACCGAATCTAACTCGCCATTACAATAGTTGCCTGCTTTTTCTTCCCAAGGGTCTCACCTGTTGTACTTCGAGCCCTACGGGCGCGTCCATTGTACTTCCAAATAGGGTCCCATTCTCGGTTTCCGAAATCCCCTTTCCCTGATATTGGATCTCGCTGAGCTATAACAGCAGGGTATGCGAATAAATTAATTTTGACGGTGCCTCTAGCGCGTCATTTTGGACGCGAATTCTATAATGTATTCCAGAGACACATTATGCAATCTTAACGAAATATGCACCTTATGTCGCTCTGAACAGATTCAGATAATTGTATTGTAAAAACCATTGATATTTCTGAGGTTTTTATGTTTTCTTTCCATCACAGTGTTTCCTTTTAAACATTCCTATCACCTAACATGGAAATGTGTCCTGCAGCAATTGCAAAAAATGATTTTGCCCGCCTTCAGTCGTCTAAAACTAAGAAATTTTGCTGAATAGTTTTTTTACAATTGCCTTATTCATGAAACCAAGTTGACTGACAATTTATGACTATCCATAACAGTTTTGTACATTTAAACACACCACACTTTATTAGAGGACTTGGCGATATGAAGTAACTAAACGTCTCCATCGTCTTCTCGTAATAGTGCTTTCCGCAGATGTTCTTTGTTTCTCTACTGCAACTGATTCCACCTGGGGTGCCAGAGAGCCAGACTAAGGTACATCGTTTAAATACCGTACCGAGGCTATACTAAGTGTGATTTATCAAAATAACCGCCTTCCCGAGCTCTCTAGTTTGACCTAAATAAGGTTGACCTTCAGCGCTGCACAACCACGCGGTAAGTGTGGTGGTTTAAATGCATTTAGAAGGAGCCTGAGCGATAGTGCTGGTCTCCATTTTTGACTCAAAATCCAAATTATTTTGTGTGGCGCTTACATCAATCGAAACAAAAACTGATTGAGGCAAATAAGCAAGCAACCCTAGTGCAATCTTACGTCCACGCGTAGAGCTCTTTCGAGGCCGTGAGGTGCAGCGAAGCGCGTCTACTTCCTCTCCCAAATTTCCAGTAAGTGCTATTGGGTTGCGCACTTAAAAATTGCAAAAATGCATGAGGTGTTTAATCTGCCCACTTAATCTGCAAAGTTAGCAGTAATTTCTTCTACCAAGGTAATCCGTGTGTAGACAGACCGATATAACACATTTAAACTCTTGACTTTACAAATAGTAAGAATCAAGCTAGCCTTAAAGAAAGCCGAAGGTTTGTTTCAGCAGAATTTTCTTACATATTTAAGGACATCCTAATGTAAGTTGTTTGAAGGTGTTTTTGTTAGCCTTTTTGATGGCAGGTTCCTATCTTAACAACACGATTATATTTTTAATTATTGAAAGAGACGTACTCTCTCTCTCATCCTCCTTTTTACTATCTCTTTGATCTCGGAAGCAGTTTATTTTACATTGGAAATCCACTCTTGGAAAATGGTCAAGCGTACCGAAATTTCATCACAACCACCACACTGAAAATCATGCAGAATGGAATCTGCCTTGAGCAGTGTGTAGGTGATGGTCCTGAACACACCCTCCATCCTAACCCGAGTCCACAACGGCGTCAACCCAATTCGTTTAGTAAAATTCCGCTTCAGTTACACCTCGCAATGAACCTTTTCAAAATCAGAGAATTTCAAACTCTCAACCCCAGCAACTTGTCTATTTAAATATCTGGGTACTGCTGCCAAAAACTTTCATATTTGCATTACTTCCCCCATGAAGACGTCTGTGTATCCTTTGATCTGGTTCCCAAAGGCATGCAAGAAATAAATCCATTATAATTTTTTTAGCTCAACCATCAAACGAGGATGAAATGTTCCAGTTGATTTATCCCGTCTTCCTCCTCTACGTCTGTCGTCTATCACCCCACATAATGTGCCCATCTGGTGCTTTTCTTTCTGCTGAATAGACTCATTTCAAGAAATTTTATGCTCATCTTCCTCGCTCCTCCTGGTTTCCTAAGTTCTTGTTCACTTGCTGTGATGGATGCTCGAATTTAGAACACTTTTTTGCCGTCATCTATGCTATCATTCAACATTTTTACGTAATTCCTAATTGGAGATTGGGTGCTAACATCAATTATGGTAAAGCCTTCTCTGCATCCCACACCCCATAATCACAAATCGCGTGTACACATTTGTTCATTGCACTCGGGGGGCACCGATCCCACTATTCAGTCTACGCTGGGCCCCTTGGGGTAGGTTGGAGATTGCGTTGGTCAAGAGATTAGTTGTCCGGAAGGTCTTTGCTGCTGATCAAGGTGACAGAGATCCATGTGCTCTGATGGACAAGTTTGCTCACCTGATCAGTTCGTCGAATAAAAGACGCTCTTAGGTAAGAACAGGTGGCAGCACTTTGCATTTGGTTTAACCAGCATTCACCATTAGCACATAGCTTAATTTGCAACTTTTTTTTCTCCACTGCTGTCCACTATAAAACCGCGAACTTTCTTAATCGAGATCTCATGATATATAAACATGTTATCTGACAGGTTAGTAAACACACATTTACCGTTAACTGTTAAAAGCAGTTTATGTTTGAAAAAAATGTTTGGACAAATGTGCGAAATTTTGCACAACCAATATTAAAATCCTGTTTCATTTTTGCTATTCAAAACAACTTTTTAAATTTTTTGCTGCTTTAAAATCGCTTAAATTTTATTAAGTTTATGACAGAAACTTGCCTAAGTTGCTGCTACCTCTGGGGGTAGTCTTGCCTGAATTTGAAATTGGTGCAGCTGTGTCGGCATCCCAGCTAAGCAGCGTTTTGTTGAAATCTAAAAAAAAGAGGAAATGAGGTAAGGCACTTAATTATATTCGCAACAAGTAGTATCAAAGCACCCGATCTCTAAACTCTTCACCAACGATCAATATAAGCAGAAAATCCTTTAATTGAATATACATTTTTTGATAGTGGGGTGTGTAGCAAAGTTTGCAGGCAGAATTTTTTCATTCCTGATATCCAACGATCACCTAGTACATCCAAGATAAGTAAAATTAGCGCTTCTAGAATCGAAAGGAAGAAAGCTAGTCATACCAATCGGTTCCTACGTTTCCAATGCTGTAAATAAATACTTGTGAAGCCTTCCAATCGAGTCACACGTGTTGATGTAATTCAATGAAGCATAAAACATCTTCAACGTACTTTTCTTATTCTGATGGGCTGTCTTTGGTTTTCCGAACTCGCAATGTTCTTTAGGGAGATCTCCGAGTCCGGTGATAGGGTCACGTTTGACAACTTAAGTGTTAATTGGCAAGTTTTTTAGTTAAGCAGACCATATGAAGTTCAATTGCTTGACATTATTCCGCAAATAATTCAGTGAAAATGAAGTGGTCACACTTTATGTCACGCGATCATTTGACTAAATAATTAAAAAATATATAAAAACAGATTATTATGAAGATTCCGAACGTGTTACTTTGTATGAAGCGACTAGTTGTGCACATGATTTGAATAAAACATTCTACTTAATGCTAATTATCATTAGTTTCAGTCTCCGGCCATTCATAAAAACTGAGTGTTGTACCATTGTAGACATACCCCGATTTTTTAGACCTGTTTCAAGGTCGACATGTGGGAGCGATTTCCGGAGTTCATCAACGTTGCCACAGATGTCGGATAAGCCTAGCAAAAGATTGAAGGGGTTCGAAAGACTTGTGTTGTGGAAAAACCAATCAGATGGTGACCACTTCTTGGCGTTCAACTCTATGAAAAATTTTTCCCTAACTTTAAGTCATTCTGACTGTGAAAGTGTGGCATATAGTCATATTTTGTCTGGGTATTCAAAATCACACGTCTACTATACAGAATTTCTTATATTTAGAGCATGATCTGTCAGATAAAGAGATGTTAACTCATTTTAATTTATATTAATGGCGTTAGATAAAAAAAACCAGGAACAAGTCATTTCTTTGCTTGTCAAATAACCTACCTGATGGTCTAGCCACTGTTGCCATTTCGCAGAGGTTGGAAACAATTTGGGCAGTGGGTAACAAGGCCTTTAAGAAAAATAAACGAGAATCTCGTTCTCTTGTATGTGCACCCTATTTCTTCAAAGTGAAACATCTTAAATCATTAATATATTTGTGCTTTGGGTTGGTCTTATTTAAAGTGCTATTGTACAAAAATTGCCAATCGGAATGCAGACCTTTTTCGTATTTTTCTCAAGGCTGACGCCTTAAACTAGCAATTTCTGTAGTTCATACATAAAATGAAAGTTTGCGTTAACGATAGGTGAGGTAGTATGCAGATAATAATCAGAAACTCTAGATTCAGTTTATTGTCTATTGATTACAAAGAACCTAGACATTTGAAGACAAAAACGGCTTGTTTTTCAGTGAATAGTGATTAGCTCATCAATTCAGAAGTGGAGCTGGACTTACCGACAATTTCTGATCCACAGAGGAGTCTGACCGAAGTGCGATGCAACGCCAGGCATGCACGCGCAGATATCATCGTACCTGCACGCCAACCAATCACAGGACTACCGGCTGGCTCAGTTTGGCCAATGGTTCGAAAGTTGGAGCGTTAGTCATTCACAGCCAACTGTGAATGTTAGTAAATCAAAATCCTGGCAACGCAGTTCGGTTATTGGTTGTGAATTTAATTAAGCTTCCCTGATTTTATTCGACCGTGTTGCATTGTGTGGCATATTTGTGCAATGATTATAAATATTTGAAAAAACAGAGAATAATCCCCTCGCGTTGTGAACAGGGAATCGCAGGCTTAACTTGGAGGCGTCATGCTAGCCAATGCACATAAAATTGACATCTTGCTCTCCCTACCAGATGGTTCGATTTGGGTGTAATAAATTCAGCTGCCATAACCAAACATGACTTATGATGATAGTGGCTTAGGGATGTTGGTCACATAGGTAAGAAGTGAATCTGCGTGAATTGTAAAGAGTAGTACGATGAAAAATGAACCCTATTTTAGCACAGATAATTGGAGTTTCTTACTGCGGGACGAAGGAAGCACTATTAATGACCTGTAGCTCTTAAATCTTCATTTCCGTACTTTCACTGATTTTGACTGTAGAAGTTTGTTTCTCCAATTTTGCTACCATCCTGGCACGGAGCAGTCGGGATGGAACTTAGAAGTGATGCTTGTCACTTCACTATTAGCTGGTCGTCGCTGACGCAAGCGTTTGAGCCGATTTGCGTCTGGTGGACATATTTTCAGCCACAGCATGCAAGCACTGGGCCGCGGTTATTCACGTGCAGCCAAGGGGTGCTGTGAATCAACGACTCTTAATTGAAGGCGAAATCCGATATCATAGGTACGTAATTCATTCCTGTGGTTTGCAAGCATTGTAGTAAGAAGGATGCATGAGTCATAAGGCGACTCACTGATTCCATCCACGGGTTGTCTGCTTGTTGTAAAAGCAAAGACCGATGTCCATGCTCTAATTTTGTCAATTAAAATGTGTGATCAAGGTTGTACCTTTATAGTTCCCTCCTCATAATACATCAAAAAGACCTCATGCAAACTGCATAATGAAATCGATTACCGAGATTCAGACAGAACATAAGCTAATCACGCATAAGGGATAAATGAGACTAATTTTGTGATTTAACAAGTTACAGGATTCATAATCGCCAAACCATTCAACAACCTTGTCTCAGTTGGGCCTAAAAATCTAATGTTTAAGAATTTTACTAACGCGAAAAATACTTCTAAATTTTGTTTATCCAACTTGTTCTCAAAACACGCCTTAATGAGATGTCCAGATTGCTCGCGAGCTGTCAATGAATGCTGGATGAGGGAATGTAGTTAAGTTAGCAGTCGAGAATTCAAGGCTTAGTATTTTTTTCGGTTGTGTTTGTTTAAATGCAGCCGTTAAGGCACCAAAGCCCCATAAATTTGCTCTGTACTTTCTTATTGGATAACTTAAGGCTATTGAGATTTCCAGTTTCAATGAAGAAGAAGAAGATGCACTCCTCGAAGAGTGAAAAGAAGCCTGTTTAATTAAAATGACTCCAATTAAATACTTTTTTAAGTTTTGGGGATTGCATAATGACCTTCTGTGGCTCTAAATATGTCCTTAACCTGTGACTTCAACGTTGCTTCCTTAAGTGGCTGCAGGCGTAGACATTTTTTAATGTCAGAAAACTCAAGTATTTTAACCTGTGAAATGCCTTTTGTGGAATTTGCTTATTGGAAACAATGAACAAAACAAATTTTAATTAAAAATGATTTGCCGCTTCCAAGTAAGCACAGCAGAAATGAAGTAGCCGCAAAAGATCATTCGTACATGAGTTGGCATGGTTACATCATTGCGAGACTTGAAAAGTAATTTTCGTGACACGTTTTGATCTTCTGTGGATGTCTTTGATTATCGGCTTGCAATATCATAATTGCTCACTCAAACTGGTGCCACCTAGCAAGTCAGTTTAGTCAATAAACCAGTCGTCGATCCATAAAAACCAATTCTTGTCTGTGTTGTAATTTGAACCGCTGCCATAGTATGTGAATTTTGTTAATTAGAAGCGCTAAATTTTAAAAACGTTTGAGAACTTATATTTTATCAAAAGCTGATAAAAGACATGACAAGAAACAAACGTCAAGATGGCAATCAGTCAATTTAGACTCGAGATTCACCCGCCAAATATGCAGAAGTGACTTGTCAAAGGAGCTCTAAACACCCAGTGGCCAAGACACGAAGCATTGTAGGAGGCTTCTCTGGCAGGACTAATCGACTGACACTAGCGTGAAGAATTGGTAAAGCAAATAAGATGGTGGATGAAAAAGGGTTCAAACAGCTATCCGTGACGCTGTTGACGGTACTATGGGACTTTTCATATTTCAGCACTTAAACCAAACGTTCCAGTCAATTCACTCTCATTCTATGACATCACGACCCTTTAAGGGAGTGAATGACACCTCGAGGTTGTCTGATTTTAGAGTAGTATAACAATACTATTGTTGCAAACAGGTGTTACTACCTAATGAATCAGCTAATAATCGTGTGAAACGTGTTTAGAGAGTTCCAAGGACAGCGCCTGCTGGTTAAGTGATGTGGCCAACACTTTGTACCGTGGTAGAGAATTTCGCATCCTATTTGAACTTCCTGTGAGATTTTTATCAAGCCTAATGATAATAACGGATTCTGCTTTCTAAGTCATAACCACAGTACTCATTTCTCTCAGTTGACACAAGCACACAGGAGTGAAAAAGGGAGGCCATGGGTCACTTTGAGGTTTTCTCAAGTGACAGAGACTTTCAATGTTGACTTCATCAACGACTTCGCACAGAACAATGAGGATATAAGGTGCGTAGGCTGTCGTCACAGTTAGGGAAGAGCAGACCTGTGTCTGTTGGTTTTCAACCATGGCATTTTACTCTTAGGCAACTCAAGGGCTGGAGTGAATATGTTGAAGTCTGCCACTGAGATTCACTGTTTTTATCTAGAGTTCACTACACGAATAAATGCCGTAGGAGCACCGCCGAGCATAATCATCAAGGCTCGTTTGCACCTTAGGCAGAAAAATGCATTTACGCCCTCTGGCGATTTTTCAAGTTTACACTAAGCTCTTTGAGCATTTTAAACTAATTACCGGTACTGAAATCTAACAAAATTTGAAGTAGAGTGAAAAATATGAGCCACGGATATCCTCATCAGGTTCATTGTTGACGAAACACTTAAAAGCGATATTTCCTATTTCTCTCGAAGTGGCTTCAATCCAGTGAATATACCTGAGCCACATTATTCTTGTCATAGCTTTGTCAGAAACTAGATACGCTGCCTTCTGCCCTCTGGCCAATTCATTACTTATTCCAACATAAAAGTCTCAGTGTGTAAGCAGCAACAATTAGACGGTGCCCTGGAATCAATTATAAATGAGGTAACTGACTGAACCAAGGTGGGCAAATTACTTCATTCTAAATGCACTCCTACACAGCGGCTACGTAAGGCCAATGAATGCTTCACAAAAGCGTTTATTTAGTCCCTTTAAAACAACTAAGTTGGTGTTTTTGGTCAGGACTCTAAGGTCAGTGAATTACGCAGAACGATTAAAGTATAGTCCATTTAGTACTCCACTTGAGACGACATTGAATGCCCCGACGATCGCGCTGAAAAGTCAAACAATCTTTTCTTTCTAGGTGTCCTATTTCACCCCTACTTCTTGTTCGAGTCTGGATTAGTCTTTGTGATCCCTCAACAACACAAATATGGATTGTTAAGGATAAACGTTTGCAAGAGAAAAGTCTCCGACCACGCTACACGGTGGAGCAAGTGAGCGATGCGTCAATGAGCACTGATCTCTGACCAACCGACTGAGTCACTTATGAGAGCCTGATACTAAGGGATTCACCAAAAACACAATGCAACCGTGAGCAAACGATGTTATTTAAACACTCCTGCAGCTGAAGTGAGCCTAGTTGTACTGGTTCAGTGCCCTCTGCAGGCTTTAGCCAAGAATTATTCATTGTAGTCCGCTGTGCACAAAGTCTAAATTATTGCCCTGCTCTAAATTAATCTGGTGCGAAGACTTGATGGGATGAGGTTGGGCGCACGCCCCACTCCGAAGGCAAGTGACGCCTACGTGACTGGTCGCTAATTCTAGTCCTAGCTAATTAGCTGTTATGATGCAAACCATTGCCTGAATCCACCTCAAACGCTCCGTATAAAAACCAATGTGCATATAGGTTTCTTTTCCCTGAACATTATTTATATATCCTGAAGGTTTTAAGGACTTTAAA